AAATAAATCTCTTGCACCACGAAAAATGCATTATCATTAAGAAAAAAAGTAAAATACTACAAAGAGTTCAATAGTAAAAATTACTACCTCCGACCCGCTATATTCGTCTACTTTTGACTTTTGGAACTGTTAATCTAAGCACTTTGACTCATCAATTTCTCTCAATGTGTAAGCCTAAATATAGTCATGTGTGATCTTGTTTGATTTGTCTTAACACACACACACACACACACACACACATATATATATATATATATATATATTGGTTCTGGTGAGAATGCAATCTTAGGAGAGAAATGAGAATGAATCTGGTGCTTTGGATTGTGAGATCTAAGGGTCAAGATTTCATCAAAATTAGATGCACCAAAATGGTTTGAAAATGCACCACGTCGAAATGCACCATAAACCTTCGAAAATGCACTACCTCAAAATCTGAGCGCAGGATGTAATCTGAGCCACACGATGCATCAAATCTGATGGCTAGATTTTATTCTCATTTCTCTCCACAAGGTGCATTCTCACGGGAACCAGCCCATATATATATATATATATAGGGATTGACTCCAGTGAGATGACACTTTATGGTGAGATGACATGCTTCGGTGAGATGACGCAAAGCTCACCACATTACACTGCAAAGCTCATCAATGGCCAATGTAAAGCTCACCTGGAAATAAGGCAAACCTCACCACTTTCAACACCAAAACTCACCTTTTTTTATTTTGAAAATTAAAAAATTAATAAAAAATAAAATAGCAACACCGGTCAACCACCGGTCAGTGGCGGCGGCGCGGCGGAGGTGGTCGCCGGCGGCCGGCGACCGGCGGCGGCGGCGACGGAGGTGGCGGCGGAGGTGGTCGCCGGTGACCAGCGGAGGTCGGCGGCGGCGGCGGTGGCGGAGGTCGGCGGCGGAGGTCTGCGGCGGCGGCGGAGGTCGGCGGCGGCTGGCAGAGGTCGGCGGCGGTGATGGTCAACGGTCAATGGTCAAAGTCTAGTCAGCACCAATTCCTTTGATTTTTTTTTCAAAAAAAATTCAAAGTGTTGAAAAAATATGGTGAGCTTTGCATTATAGTTTAGTGAGCTTTGTAGACTTGTAGTTGTATTTGGTGAGCTTTGCGTCATCTGACCGTAGCATGTCATCTCACCATAAGGTGTCATCTGACTGGAGTCAATCCCATATATATATATATATATATATATATATATATATACTTCCTCCGTCCCACTGTCTTTGTCCACTTTTGACTTTTGTAACTGTTCATCTAAGCACTTTGACTCATCAAATTCTCTCAATGTGTAAGCCTATATATAGTCATGTGTGATCTTGTTTGATTTGTCTTAACATATAGATTATTAATATATAATTTCTATAATTTTTTAATATACATGTTGGGAAAAATATTATAGATTTTGATGATGATGTATTTAGAATGTATTAGGGACTTTAGGTCTCCCCCAATATTCAATGTAATTTTTCTTTTTAGAAATATTGTCAAAACCGAGTTCTTGAGATTTCCAATAAAGCTGTGATATTTCTGTAAGCGTTTTGATGACTGAAGACTTAATCAAATTCAGTGATATGGAAATTGGATATCTTGATCGGAAATGTCAGAGACAAGTAAGGATTTCTCAATCAGATGAAAATCCTCAGATCCGGAAGACTACATAAGAACCGGATGTCTCGCTACAACCCGCTGAAGGCTAAGTCATCCAAATCGGAAGACTAGCGCGGAGCTCTTTCTCACCCGGAAGTCTGAGAATGACTCCTCCGGATTTGTCAGCTAAGAATCGGAAGACTCATTGAAGACCGGAATTCTCAGAAAGCGGACAAGTGAGAAAAGACTTGGAAAAATTATCTAAGTCCTGAATGAAGAAATTCTACCCGTTGGTAAGGAAAAATCAATCTCTTGATTTTCAACGGCTAGATTGAAGATAATTATACTGATTCAAAAACAAATTACTCGAAGACAAAGTCTGGGCCTCTAAAATTGAAGAGCCTGTCCAGAATTCCTAAACAAGCACTAGAGGACAAACAGAGTAAAGTGCTACAGTCTTGAATTCTTGAACAACAGCTAGAAGACGGATTCTGTGGAAAAAGGAATCCTTTCTCAACAATTGGGTACGTCCAAACATCCACTTCAACAAAGAATCTTCAAATCACAATCTTCATTCAAAATTGAAGCCAGCAAATGCAACGGATAGTCTATTATGATTCAACGGATAGATTATCCAATCCAGCTATAAATAGCATCCTTGGAAGACTGGAGAAGATATGATGAGATACGTTGATACAACAACACAACAAAGCAATCTCTAAGCTATCTCATTCACAGTTAGCCCAAAAAGCTTGATAAAGAGAGATTTCTAAACTCCTTATCCAGAAGCAAACTCCTCCTCCTTCCAAAGAGCTATAGTGTAAACACTTGAAGGTTTCCTTGCCTCAAGTACCACACCACGTTGAAGGATACAACTTTT